TCCCAGATGACGTGAGTGGTCTGGATGGTTCATAATGTAGCAGAAGATCAGAACCCCTAAACAATTCAGTGCTTCATAAACCAACAGTGAGTTTACTGCTTTATGTTAGGGCTTCTGTATGCATGTTTTGACAGATTAAACCAGAATCCAGTGGAATTCGATTATGGTAAAGAGTAAGTGGCAGTGGATTGACCAGAGAGTGTTGGGCACTGTTCAATTGTTAAATGTTTGAAACACACACATTATAAGTGGTTTAAACTTGCCAGAACTCCCAATCAGCTCATTTGCTGTTAATTCCAGAAGTGGATTTTCTTTCAGATCCCAGAAATCCAGTCTGATGAAGTGTGTGTTTGCCTGTGTGTGCATGCGCGTGTGTGTCAATGCAACAGCTTGAAGGCACATTTATCTGGCAATGGAAATGAATGAGTCCAGTGAACTAATTACACAGCTGTAATGTACTCATCAATATTTAGGGGTAATCACAGTCTTAACAGGTACTGATCACGCCTGAGAAGAGGAGAGAAGATGAGAGAGACATGACCCTGAATCATCCATTGTATTTTAAACAAGGCTTATGTACAATATATAATAATTATGTACAAAAACAAAATTGAAATGGACAGTATGCATTTAAACCTTTAAAGTGGCTCCTCTGGGACTCTATAAACATAAAGCCTATTATTGTTCTTTAGCTTCAAGTCCAGCTAATTTTGAACATGCCTCTCAAAGCAAGAAACAAGAGTACTAAATCTGGAATCCACTGATTACAATGAACACATAGACTAGGTTGAATTAGGAAAGATAGAGCTCTAAGCCGCATTCAAGTGCAATTCCATTGAGCTGGAAATTAGATGAAGTCAGTCTCATAATGTGAAGAATATTGAATGTTCATATGCAAATCCTCATCATGCATTTTCTGTTTTCTTTCAATCTCCATCTTTTAATTCTTTCTTGTACTCTCCTTTTTGTGGCCTCTCTCCCTCCACATGATTTATTGTCTCATGCTCTCTTTCCCTCCACATCATCTCTGTATTTTTCACATTCCCCGCCTCGATTCCATGAAAGGAACTTTGGCACAAAGCCTCCCTCTAACTCAAAAATACCCAGAGAGAGAGACATGGTTGGGAAAACAGTTGGAACATTAAAAAAACAGTAGAACAGAAAGAAACACCATGGGAGACAGAGTGAAAGAGAGCAACAGATTCATGCATGTAATTACCCTGTCGATTTCTCTGACAGACATTGAAATCAAGATTCAGAGAGGAAGAGAGAGAGATTGAGATGGAAATAGTGCTGTAATGTCTTGTGATCTGCCACTATTATGGCCACTACAGGGTGCTTTGATTAGTCCTACACATCCTGCCACAAAAGGTACACAGATACTCACACAGACACACTCACGCACCCCACACTCTGTCATGTCACACACCCCTTCACGGTCATTCGCATGCACACACGCAAGCAATCCCGGTAATTCTCTGGTTTGTCATAGCACTTGCCAGCTCAGTTGTATGAACCAGAAAAAGGGGCAACTAACAAAAAAACTGAAGGACAGACAAAAAGAGGAAAAATGAAACAAACGAAAAGTGAGAAATGTAAATTTGCAAACAAACACAGACAGATGGAGGAGTGAGAGTGGGGAGAAAGTAAATCCTGAGGATTTATTTTAATGAAAAGGAAATTGTTTTTTTATGTTAGAAGAAGGAGATTCTTGTCTATCCTGAATGTGATACATGGTCATGATTCACTTTTAATACTGATGCTTATTTTATTTTTTACCATGCTTCATTACAGGAAAAGGATTTAATTCCCCCTCAATTGTATCCAGGTTGTGGAGAGACCCTTTTTTGGTGTTAAAACAGCAAATTCTGGGTGACATGTCCTCCCAAGTGCTGATTTAGATCCCTGAACAATTTGTTCTCTAGCTTGTCTTTATTGTCTCTCATATAAATTGAGACATAGTGTAATTAAAATTGGACATTTGACATTTGATTTTTTGTTTTTCTTAAGTTTTTTTGTGGGATTGATGGATTCAATTTCTCTTTATTGTAATGACACAATGAGAGAAGTACAGAACAGAACAGTACATTTGTGTAAGACAGATGATAAATCTTAAAGGAATTATTTTACATTTTTGGAAAACATGCTTATCTGGTTTCTTGCCAAGAGTTAGATGAAAAGATTGACATCACTCTGCACAATAAATATGAAGCTAGGAGATGGCTAGATTTTGGCTTAAAGACTAAAAACAGACAAACAGCTCCTGGCTCTGTCCAAAGGTAACAATATCCACCTACCAGCACCTCTAGAGCTTACTAACTGGCACACTATATTTCATTTGTTTGATTCGTACACTTTTAAGGAAAAGTATTGAACCTTCAGTTAGTGGGGATGCTATACACACACGCATACAATACACACTCCCAGTTGCGACTGGTTGCTCTCCGTGTGGTCATAAAAAACAAGGTCACTCCCCACATCTTGGGCATGCCAACTCCACAGGCGACCATGCTACCAAGGTTATTAAATGGACCATCTGTCACTACACACACGCACCATATACATACACATGCATGTGCGTAAAAGCAAATGCACTCACTATACATGGACACACACCCATAAGAGCAAGGTGTTCATTTGGGTCTTTAGGATTCAGTGGATTTTCTATATTTTACTCTATTGCTTATAGAAAGACATTTGGACTCTCATGTAGCACATATGCTATACAAGTTTTGCATGGTTTTCGGCTACAATGTGTCAAATCAGCTGTAGGGGAAACCGGGTGTGGTTATAACACCAATGGGAGATAAGATAGGAGTCATGCGATCATTTCAGTATTTACCTTCTTCCTCCCTGATCCCACATGATGGTTATCAAGGCTGGAAAAAGGCACATTCAGAATACATAGAGAATGTTACGGGGTGTGGTGTGTGGACAGAGGACCCAAATGCAGCACTCCGAGGGTAGGAGGTTTATTGGAGGGAAAAAGGGGGAGAGGGACTGGAAGGGAGGGAGAGGAGGACGTCGGGGGAAGTACAGGCATAGGGAACCAAGGAGACACGGGGCCAGGGAGCCGGGGAACACAGGGGCCGAGGAAGCGAGGAGAGGCGGGGGAACAGGGAGGACGCCGTGAGGGAAGTCCAAAGAGGAGTGGGCCAGTGGATGAGCCCAGCCGAACAGAGGACGAGGGTGAGTGTACCTGGGAGGGAAACAGACAGAGAGGCAAGGTTAGGGAAGACAGCGACAAGGCACAGGGTAAATGTGAAAAAAAAAAAACAAGGAACATGAAAGCCTGAACGTGGGGATGGCACCGGGTATGGAGCAACGACGATCAAGCGAGGATGGTGTGGAGAACCGGGGTTGAAATACAGGCTGGGATGAGGTTGATTACTGGCAGGTGTGGCAGGCTGACGAGGTGGATGATGAGTTGCAGGTGCAGGTAGTTGGCTGGGCTCAGGAGCAGAGGGAGAGAGAGCACACAGGGGAGAAAACACAGGGAGGCAGGCAGAGAACAGGAAACCAAGGAAAAAAAAAAAAAAAAAAAAAAAAGCAGAAAATCTGATAAAAGTAGAAAAACCAGGACACTCACCGTCAGCCGGGCTGCCACCACAACAGGGCCCCCTCCTCAATGGACGCCTCCCGGCGGCCTTCCTATCGGACAAGGGGTTTGGCAGACGAACACAGGGGGGAGAAAGTCGTACTGGGGTCTGGCTGATGGGGGTCCAGGGTCCAAAACCAAACTGGGAATTCAGGGAGGGCTTCAGGACAGGGAAGGGTTAGGGGAACGGGCAGGGCTGAACTGAAGACTCAGGGCTAGACAGGGTGCCAGAGGGTAGAGCTGGGGGACTAGAGAGTGCGGAGTTCGGGCGGACGTCCCGTGGGAGGAGCAGAGGGACCAAGGGGTTCGGGTGGATGTCCCGAGGGCGGAGCAGGGGAGCCAGGTTGGTCCGGCGGGCAGCGGCCGGTCCGTCCGCCAACAGAACACGGCGAGCAGGGGTCGGCCGGACCACCGGCGGGGCTGATGCCGGTCCGTCCGCCGACAGAGCACGAGGAACAGGCTGGGGGCCAGCGGCGCTGGCAGGCATGGGGGCAGGCTGGGGGCTGGTGGCTGGGGTCTGGCTACACAGGGAAATGCTTCCCAGCCTGCAACTAGCGGGTTGGGTAGGAGACCACCGAGGGCTAGCAGGGAGATGGAAAAATCTGGCCAGCCACTCTGGGACGGCGTCTCTCAGCCAAGGCCTCTGTGACACCTTTACCTGGCCAGAGGTCAAAAGCGCCAGCTTGTAGCCCGTGTGAGTCGAGCCCCTCCACTTCTCCTCGCACAGCTGACTAGCTTCCTCCTGATGGGCGGTTGCTGGGTCCATAGTTGGCTTGATCGTTCTGTTACGGGGTGTGGTGTGTGGACAGAGAGGACCCAAATGCAGCACTCAGAGGGTAGGAGGTTTATTGGAGGGAAAAAGGGGGAGAGGGACTGGAAGGGAGGGAGAGGAGGACGTCGGGGAAGTACAGGCACAGGGAACCAAGGAGACAGGGGGCCAGGGAGCCGGGGAACACAGGGGCCAAGGAAGCGAGGAGAGGCGGGGGAACAGGGAGGATGCCGTGAGGGAAGTCCAAAGAGGAGTGGGCCAGTGGATGAGCCCAGCCGAACAGAGGACGAGGGTGAGTGTACCTGGGAGGGAAACAGACAGAGAGACAAGGTTAGGGAAGACAGCGACAAGGCACAGGGTAAACGTGAAGAAAGCCTGAACGTGGGGATGGCACCGGGTATGGAGCAACGACGATCAAGCGAGGATGGTGTGGAGAACCGGGGTTGAAATACAGGCTGGGATGAGGTTGATTACTGGCAGGTGTGGCAGGCTGACGAGGTGGATGATGAGTTGCAGGTGCAGGTAGTTGGCTGGGCTCAGGAGCAGAGGGAGAGAGAGCACACAGGGGAGAAAACACAGAGAGGCGGGCAGAGAACAGGAAACCAAGGAAAAAAGCAGAAAAACTGATAAAAAGTAGAAAAAACCGGGACACTCACCGTCAGCTGGGCTGCCACCACAACAGAGAAAACTAAATTTAAGGTAAGAAAGGAAATTTTTTGACCAAGACTATATTTTGTTTAGTATCTGTATTATTGTAGAAATTGTAGGACTTGTATTAAATTAAAATTTAGTGATGTGATGCACTTTCCCCCCCCCGCTAATTTCAAACCACTATGCTAATACAGCTAGTTACAACCATCCCCTTTAAGGACTTTCTTAATTTTAGTATTTTTACCCTGTGTGAGTGCCCTGTCTCTGGGCCCAGGAAGTCTTCACTCCGGGGTTACCAGCATTCATTTGTCAGCACTGTGACCAGTGCTTGAAGTGGTGCCAGTACTGCCCATTCACAAGTTGGTGTGTGTATTGGCACACATCTCTTCCCCACTCGGTCTCTGCCAGAGGAGAGGGCAGAAAAAAGAAGTGCTGGTGTGTAAGAAAATGTCCCAGTACACTGAAGAGTCAAATGTAGACGTGCCTGTAGCAGTGATTATTGGCCCACTATAAGCACCAGCTGACTCTGATTAAGAATATACGCACATTGAGACACACACACACACACAGATGTTTTGTTAGATATAAAGATGTACAAAGAGTGTTAAAGGTGTTGACAGTCCCCCGAAGCCCCCTACCCTTACCATAACCATCAGAAATGTTTGTGCCGAAACCTAAGTGAGTGACTTTATGCATGTCGACCAGCTAACCCTACAGCTGTAGGGTTAGTCCCTTTTGTGTTGCTGCGGCGTGGCAAACTGTGGCGTTTCATACAGATGCTGAAGGGTACCTTTAGTGTCAAATAATTACGCTTTGTCATGTCTGTCTGAAATATCGGTAATGACGTGTTGTCATTTCAGCCTCTGACTGAAACAAGCTATAAAAGCCTCCTTGCTCCTGTCTTCAAGGCCCCTCCTCTCAAAGCCCACTGTCTTCTGATTGGCCAAGACCTGAAGCATGTTACCAGGCTTTTGTTGCCGCTGAGCAGAACACTGAGCGCAGCTGTGCGGAGCACACAGGGATTTCTTTTAAATACTTTAACCTCATTATTTGAAGCTTTGATCATGTTTAACATGTACATCCAACATTGTAAATAAGTCATAAAATACGGAAAAGCATAATAGGTCTCCTTTTGATGTTGCATTCTTTGTTATACGTTTTATTGCTTCATTTTATTTTATGCAATCCTTTTATGGCATATTTATTCATTTATTTATAGAAGCTACTAAGTTCAATGGTTCTACTGTATCTCGTTGTATTTTATGTGCAATGACAATAAAGTCTCTATCTATCTTGATGTAGGACTTATTATGTACAATAGAAATATAAGTATTTTATAGAATAATTGCAGGATTAGGGGCTATAGCCCTCAAAGCTAGCATGCTAACCAAGCCCCTAGCAAGAAAGATGGCTTACCGCTTCTATTAATTCCCATGCTGTTGTTAGCATGGTGCAAAGAGGGCGCTACATTTCCTGCAGGAATCGCTTTGTGAACAACAGCTACATGTCACACTGTTTATTCAACTCGTAAAAATGTGTTGTCTTTAAATCCACACTGACATCCCCATGTTCCTGTTAAACCTACAATTTACATAAGTGATTAAATAATTTGTATCACAGGAAGTCATCCTTCTGCACACCATATCTGTAAATAAATTAATGCAATCATTTGGAATTTGCCTGCCACTGTGACAATTACAACATGGAAATCTTGTTGTTGAATTCATTTAAGAGTTAAAATTAACCATCATTCTGTTTTCCTTGGGCTTTGAGACAAATAAGGCTCTTAATCCACCATGACAGATAATCTTGGCAAAATAAGATGATTGTGGTGCTTGTCAAATCTTCATATTAAATTTAACCTTGACACTTAAATCTGCATGTTAATTTTAACTGATAAAAGGAGGGTTAAAACCGTATGCTCCTATTATGCTTAGTGTCACAAACAGCAGCATGTGGGTACTGCACCACAAAGGACTAATGGCATGGTGCATTCCAGGGCTGTCGGGATATCAAATGTTCACTACTCGATTTTCATAATAAAAGTAATAAAGAAAATTCATCTTTAATTATCTATTATATCCACTATATATTGTGCTTCATGGCACGTATACAAGAAAGCGACAACTTTTATTTTCCCCCAAACTTTACCTCACCTAACCCTTTATCAAATGAACTGCTTCTTTAATGATAGCATGGACCTCAGTTTGGGAGTAATATAAAATTTCAAACATTTGTAGATGAGTGGTGGAGGCCAAATGGGAAAAGAAAGAGCTTGCATGGCAAGATCAGTTTTCAAGCCTTATCAAAAAGCTGTGTAGAGGCTGCTTGAAGACTTGTTGGAGTGCAAAGCATCTATTCTGCCAGACTTGAATCTCTGCCTTGTGAGTTTTTATCTGCTATAGTAGCTCTTCACCTACAGTGACACTGGTAGTAGATTGGTTGCAGATTGTTTTTTTTTCATGCTGTTTTCCACTTCTTCATGCACTGCGATCATCTTTAAGAGGCCAGACAAGCTGTTTCGATCCTGAGGGCTAGAAGCAGCTGGTCCAAAAACCTATTTGGATGAATTGCAGACAATAGACATGAGATCCAAGATGCATGTTTATTACTTTGTAGTGCTCATACAGGTCTATGCAAATGGTGGGTTTCATGTCCCTCACCAGGTTGTTCCTAGAGGCAAGTGATAGCACAGAACATGAATAGATGCAAAAAATGTTTTTTACTCATGAAATGTTGCCTCCTTGCCACAGGGGTAAAAATCCTAAGCCAGTCAGAGGTTGTAGCCAATTTGTTCTCAAGCGTTTTGGTGAAGTCTAATAAATTGAACAAAATTTATTCCAAAAACTTTGGCATTTGCTGCTGATTGAGGTTGCTTCCTTAAGACATCCTTATAGAGTAGATGCTGCGTGCCTGGGTGAATCCACAGGTTAGGATAGGATAACAGCTAAATATATGTAGTTATAAATATTGCACTAATATACAGTGACTTATTCTTGTAAACAGGTTTTGGTCATTATATGCAGTGTTTCCCCACCTTAATTCTACATATAGTCAGCATGCTTTTACTATTTTGAAAATTAAACAAATCCTTCAATACACAAGACACTGATGTGACAATCTTTGGAAATCTCGTCAAGCAGAACATCTTGGACTGGATGTTGAGGGGAATTTGGTTTCTGCTTACATCGTTGCTTCCTTTTCTTCTAGGAGTAGTTAAACCCCTGGACCACACTCCAAGCCTTGACTGCTGCATCCACTTTGCAAATCTTCAGTGCTTTTCCGCAAATTAGGCTCAAAGCTGATTTTGGGTGGAAGGCTTTCAGCATAGCCTTAGAGATGGTGATGAGTGGTGACAAACAGACACTCTCAAGTCAGTTTCCCACTAAGAGTTTGTTTGACTGTTGGACATTTTTACCACATGGACACTCAGGTAAAAATGTACACATACAGATTTAATTTAACATATTGGTATGTTAAATTAAATGAACTGTGTGGGTGTGCTGCCATGCTTGTAGAGTAGTTAAAACACAAATTCATATTCATGAAATTAGATTTGTAGCTCAAACTTGCAAGTTTAGTAAGGGTCTCATTCTAAGGACTTTGAAACAACTGTTCACATAAGTGCTCTAATTCTTGACCTCTTCATGACCGCTGAAAGAAATCGTGTCCATCGCCACAAACAAGCCCAGGACCTTGTGATGACTTCATCCTGACATGCACTAATCTCATCTGCCTTTCTTTTCCTCTCCATAGACTCAAGTATGCTTTGCCTTGCTGAACCACTTGCTTTTGCTTGACCTGAACTCTCTTGTTTCTTGAACTCTGCCAAGCCAACAGAAAAAGGGGAAAAAAGCCATTAGTGACAACAGCAGCATAGTCAGCTCGGGCATTAGCAGCAAATGGCTTTCCATAAGCTATCAGAGACCGTCTGGCTAATTAAGTGCTATCATGACTGTGGTTATCTACTTATTCTGTCCAATCAGCTTTTTCCACTACAGTTTAAAGAGAGACATTGTGCTTTTGACTCCACTACATTTATCTGACAGCTATAGTTACTTGTTAGTTTGCAGATAAAGATTTTACATAAACTATATAAAGAAATGATACGCTTGTAAAATACAATGCATTGTTAAATATAAAACCAATGGATTACCTCTACCTACTGGACCCTTACAAATAAGGAGCATTAGAGCCCCTTGCTTCATGATTCAAATGTTAGAATTTCCACCAAAGATGTTTCATTTAAATCAATGTTCCAGGCCCAGAAAGGTAATATGCCACAAAAAAAAGAAAATTATTAAAAGTTAATTCTGTGAAGATTGTGACAAATGACCCCTTAGATTTACCATGTGATCCTTTGGAGGGGGGCCAGACCTCTAGTTTGGGTACCACTGGATTTAACAACGTGACAGTATATAAAGTAGTTAAAATTAGCTCCACCAGCTACAACAATAAAATGCTCCCTATGGATTGATGAATCGATATTATAGAATCTAACAATATAGAATATAAACACACATACAACTCAAGAGGGCCATTTTCTATGTTTTGTAATTGGTCCAGTAGATTGCTTTAGCCGGCAGCTGCAAAACGAGCTGCAACATAATCCTTGCGGGCAACTGCAACCGTCAAAAGTGTGTCTACTTGTTTTTGCCACTGACAGGCTCAGATTGTTATTCTGTGTTTAAGTGTCTGACAACATTATGGAAAGGATGCCCACAGAAACAAACCTTTTTGTTAAAGAGAAAGATGACTTCTCCTTGAACGAGACTTCTGTTTCTGGTTTAACAAACAGGTCTGTCTCTGTAGGGATCCTTTCCACAATGCTGTCAGACAGTGAACATCAATCAGAGTCTGTCAGTGAAAAATAAGCACCTTCGTGAGGATGCGTACCTTCACATTAAAGGGCTAGTTCAACATTTTGGAAAATATGCTTATTTGCTCTCTTGCAGAGAGTTACATGAGAAGATACCATGTCCTTACGGGAAAAATATGGCTGGATCCAGCAGCTAGTTAGCGTAGAATGAAGACTGGAAACTGCAGAAAAAAGCTGTCCTGGTTCCTCGCTTTATGCTCAGCTATGCAAACTGGCTGCTGGCTTCAGATTTATATTGAATGTATAGATGTGTGAGTGGTATAGATCCTCTCACCTAAATTTCTGCAAGAAAGCAGAAATCCCAAACTATTCCTTTGATACCGTTACATGTAATGTAGTATTTCTCATGGTTATATTATTATTATAATTTTACAAGTAAGCAGATGTCTACACCGCTGGATTATGCTTTTGTAGCATTAAGCCTATCATACACACTATCATCTTAACTAAACCATGACACACATTTTCAAATAAAACATTATGCTTGTTTGCAGTGTTAGTTGTGACCCCTGGAGAGTTGTGCAACATGATGTGTTTCCTCTGTGAGAGAAATTTATACCGGCCATGTGACCGCTGCTCTGTCAACAACACAATACACTAGCACCACCATCCTCTTTCTCTCATTGCTTTTCTTTCACCTCCACTGTGTTCCACTCTCGCCCTCCTTCACGTTTTAGTACATTCCTTTAAACATGCCACACAACATTTGTTTGCCTGTGAATGTTAGCAATTTCATCATAAGCCTTTGCAACTTTATCCTATGAGTCACGTCTTGTTCTCCTCCTTTTTCACCTTCTCTGATACCCTATTGATTTCCATACCTATAAATAACATCCGGTTAAACCTGATACCACCATTTCTGTCTCCTGCTCTCTTTTCTGTCCTCTTTTCCCCCTTCATTCTTTGATACTGTGTCTTCCACTCTCCTCACTCTTCTATCATCTTCTGCTTTTCACCACTCCACTACTCTCCTTCTTTCCTCTCCTCTCTCTATCTGCAACACTTCTTCGCTTATTCTACGTAGTACTTTAAATGCTGTACTAAAAGCTCTCTTATGGGTTTGCCTCTCTTTGGAATGAAACGAAACAGTATAATGCTCACAAGCTGTGGCTTATGGGAGTGTGTGTGTGTGTGTGTGTGTGTGTGTGTGTGTGTGTTGCTTATTTTTGGAACAGCAGGGGGCAGTGCTGCTCCTTAAATGGCGATGCGTGCACAGATGACAGCAATATGTCACTATAGTAGGGGCCCAGTTGAGCAGGCACACTGTCAGTGGAATCATGTTAGCCTACAGGTCAGGACAGAGAAACCCATGGTATATTAAATCAGAGAGGAGCTATATGAGGAGATTTGAAGGCTTGTGGAAGACAAACAATCTGGGAAGAGGTTGTGAGCCACGGCTGTGTAAAAACATATTAAAA